AATAACAAATGCTGAGATAAATGATTATATATTTTAAATTATAATAGAAACAATTAGCGATTCATGATCTAGTATCCTGTATCGCGTTGTTTTATTGGATGGAGTATTTAATTTATTTATAATATATACTAAAACATTTTATGAATTAAACAACAATCTTTACAAACTTAAAATTAATTCTCTCACCGAACCTTGATATATATTATGAAAAGGCTGTATACCTCTAAGTCTACTGAATAGGGGTGGATTTATGTTAACGGGAAGTGCCCCGGCGAAATGGCGTCCTAAGCCTTCAGATACGGTTTGTGTACATGTATGTAAATATATGGATAAAGCTCCTTGTTGTTTCATCGATCGGTTTATATATTATTTTCCAATCTGTTTTACTTGAAGCGTGAGTCCTTCACATTTAGGAATGATTTTAAAATGCACACGTGATGATTAACTGCTTAATGAATACTTTGAGTTAGAAACTAACTAAATTCGCTTTGTATGAAGTAAATTTGTTTTGGCATTATGTCATATGTAATTACGTTCCATATCATCAGTAGAAGCAATTAATTGATTTTAAGACATAATCTATACATAGGTATAATAAAATTGTAACTAAGCCGAATCTGTACATTCAATATTTTTGGAAAATCTTATTGAAATAGATATTATTATCGATACAGAGGCCGAATTACGCAATCCGAATCGCATCATGGAAAAACCACTGGAGGGATTTTGATGAAATTTGGTATGATGATAGCTGGTTATCCGGGTCAACATATAGGATACTTTTTACCATGGGACAATATCTCATTTCTGAGAAAAAATACAAAAACTGCAATATAAGAGTATACTAATATGTAAATATGTAGTTTTTGGTCTTCTGAACGCGGGCGGAGCCGCGGGCAATGCTAGTTGATAAACATAGTAAGTAGCTATAGGCGTTATATTTAATTAGGTAGGTACAAATGCTTCTTTAAGTTTGCAAATATTTTTAAAACTTATTTTTTCTTGATTAATTGCAATAATTTCTTCAGGTTCTTTTAAAACTTTAATAGTATGCGTTAGAACATTAAAAAAATAGTTATAAAACAACGGACATATAACAGTAAAATAAAAAAATATTACAACCAATACAACGATAGGTACACAAGTGTAACATTACTCTTGCACTTTAAAGTACTTTTGATCTTCACAATTCCTTTAAAACTCATTTCACTATTCACTTAATTAGATCATAAAAAATCACATGCACCTTAAAACTCATGTTTTCGAATCAAACATTTGTATCATACTAAAACTTCTGGGTCCCAAACTTAATAAATGCAACATCGTGAATAGAAACTGAATAAAGAGTTAACCCCTTCGCTACCTCGGCGTATGCGCATGGAAATTAGATCAGTAGGTAGCGATGATAGGGCAGCGCTTCCCAAATTATAGTATCAATTTTAGTATAATGAAAAACAATGCTTGTATTATACCTATACTATATAAATTAATTAATAAATTTTATATTAAAATCTTACATTAATATATTTGAATAATTTTTACTCCACTTTTACATTAACTTAATTTTAGAAATGATAAAATAGAGGCCTCTCTATAATTTAAAAAATAGAGCTATCTCATATTAAAATGATTTTTTTTAACCACTTGGACTAAGGTATTGTGCCAACGTATAGTACCTACACTAAATTTTAAATTTTATCGTGCTTGTATTTCGGTTTATACCCGCTCATCTTAAGTTATCTGAATCAATTCATTACGTGTCATTTATAACCACATAGACAATTAATTAAGGTGATAAGGAAATAGGCAAAATTAAGGCCAAAGCGAAATGAAAGCGGGTTGCTAGTTTAGTAAATGAATTATACCTACTTATCTAAAAATCTACTGCCTTACCAAATGAATGCTCTACGATGATGAAATCGTATAGAAAACAAAATAAACCAATAGGTTTCTCGAAAAAAGTACTGGTATAACCAGGTAAAGAGAACAATTTGAGAACCGGAGGTGGAGATCGTATATCGCAATTGTTGTGTATTTTTTGCGAGCGCTCATTAATTTGGAGTCGTAAGTTCAGACAATGGCCACCCTTCCTCGGCATCCTCTATTGTCCCACTATCACTGCATTTGTGTTTCCGGCAGCATCTTTTTATTATGCAGATTACTTTATCAGCACGGGATTTAGATAGCGCCGCTAAGCTTCATTCGTATGCGTGATATAAAATCGGGTATTTTGAAAATGACATATACAAATATTTTAAAAATATTGCACTTTTTTTAAATATTTGATATCCTCACCCTCGCAAACAAAATAATAGTCACTAACTGCCAATCGACATGACCGATCATGCGTAACGCGAGATCAATGCAAAAACAGCAGTCATATAAATCTAACGAGGACTCTTACATCTGCATGTCACTGGAATAAATCAAATCACTATTGAATGCATCCGTAAAATATTTTTGAACTATTTTGAATGTACCTTGTCTCTGCGTCATAAAAAAAACTATCCCTCGTAAGTTAACCCGTTCACTGACACGTATTCAGCCGTTATAAAAAAAGTTACACCCATATTTTGCACTTCCCAATATCCAATAATAGGGTCTATTTATGCATTCTCGATAAATGAAGAGTATTTTTTTACTTCTATTATAAATCAAAATGTATTATTTATCTTTACAGATTCCGAATCTGCATCCTATTGTTATTCGGGTTATGCGGTATGTCAAGGGTTTTTGTCGCGTAAAGTTCGTTGTAACAGTGTAGGATATTATTATTAGTAATTTTACATATTTAATGATCATTTTTAAATTACCAGTTAGAATGCAGGATATGCAATTTCATTTTTACGTGCACACTATAATTGTACGTATCAGTAATAACTTATAATTATTGTATCAAAATTTGAGTTTAATCCGATAATTCGATTATACATCAAATAAAATACAATATTTTCCTATTAAATTCTTGGTACATTTTATCTGTAGTTCAATCGCGAGATCAACCATTTTGAATATTTTGAGTATGGAGGGTGTACTCGACCGTGGGGCAGTAATTATTTGATTGAAGTCAAGAGGTTGCATGCCGAGATAGCGGCCGGGTTGTATTGTACCGCACCTACCTCGCATTCTGCTTACTCAAGTATTTTATTGTTTGAAATTTACTACGTGCCAGATTTGCACCTACAGTGCTCGAGGGTTAACCGTTAAGAGATATAAAATGCACATAAATAAAAATTTCATGGCTTAGACTTACAATAAATATGTACTTGGAATAAATAATTTTACTATTATTATTAAAATGCCTAAAGAAAATATTTTTTGTTACTTAAAAAATCTAACCGTCATTCAAATTTCATATTCAGCTGCGTTTAAATGCATATTATTAAAAAAGCTACAATATATGAATAGGTATTCAAAACATTTAATAATGCAAAAGCAAGGTGACAGGAACAGAAAAAACGTCACTCACAGAAACCTAGTACCCTTTAATCCGTTCTATTATGCATATAATTATTATTTCCGATTTGATATCAAAGAAATAACAGTTCTTTTTGCATATGAGACTTTGACGGAAGTGTGAATAAAAAAATGTCACCCCCAGGTATAGAAAGGGTGACCGAAATGGTTTTTTATAAGGGCAAGGGTAATCCGAGATCGCATTAGACTTTTAGAAGATGATTATTATGCATGCATTCTCAGGAGGATTTAATCGACACATTGCCCGAGGCATGTGTGAAGAGGCAACGTACTTCCGCTGGTCGTTTTCATGGGGCCTTATATTTGAGTGTTAACGGAAAAAATTACAAGTGACAGTAATAGCAAATTGTATTTTTTTTTCAAGAAGTCAATAAGTTAAAAAAATAAACTTTATTATTATTTATATTAATAGTAATTTATTAGATATAAAATCCTTGCAAGATTCATGCGCAACACGAGTATAAAAATTGTAATTTATTGAATCAGAAACAAGAATTTCCTAATCTGCAATTGATATAATAATATTCAATAATTCAATGTTCCATATAGTTAATATTTTGGTAGAGGACACACAGGTGTTTTTTTTATAAAATAAAAAACATACACTTCTCATCCATTTAGGGTTATCTATTGTGTCCATGATGTTTGTTTGGTTTATTTTTTATGGGTCTTAGTTCAGGTAATCCCATGTCCTCTCGCGGTGTTCAATGGATTTTGACGTATAAAAGGATTATTTTTTAATAGATAATTAATGATGCTGTGGTACAGCTAGGTGTCATATAGTATTTTATATTTAAATGCAGATGGAATATATTTGATTATTTAGAATTTAACGACTTTCGATCAGTTCAGCTGTTATAAAAAATAAATGAATGCGCTTATAAGCAATCATTTTTAATAATTATTTTAATAATTTATTATGTGACTACTGTGTGACAAATTTTTGTAACCAGTTATATTTCCTAAGGTCAGCTTTCTTTTGATTCTAATTGATAGTAATAAAAATCGTCGAGGGGTTAAGGAAACTCGCAACAAAAACAAAAGACAGCTGAGAGTTCGTCGACCTACGGCAACGTGGCCGTAACTTTCATTCTTAAAGCGAACCAAGTTAGTAACCTACTTTTCATTAATAAGGCGAGCTAAAAAAATGCACGAAGAAAGTATCAAAGATTGAGCGGAGCGCGAACTTCGCTAACTGCCGCGTAAAATTTATATGGATAAGCCATCTTATTTAACTGCATATTATTTTAGTTTATTTAATCAACACAAAAATGTATAAAATTTATAGATTGCTTTATTAACAATTCTAATATAAAGTTATTCAATTAATTAATTATTATTTAATATATTTATAATTATAGCTTTTTTGAATTATAATATTCGTTACGTGTCACGTGATAAAATTAATTTTGGCAACAAAATATTATATAACAAAATGTTAAATTATATAAGAATATTAGTAAAAATAATTCAGATTATATATTAAAAAAATAACAACTTTAATATATTAATTATCAATTTTATTTTAATAAATTTTTCACATCGTCTTTAAGCTCTACACAATTTTTCCGAGTTCCCGCCAGACGCCGAGACGCTAAAAAAATAATTAAAACGAGCGGCGCGGGCGGCGCGGGCGAGAGTGAAAGCGCGCCGTCTGCCGCGTAATTAGTACAATGGAGTTTCCTGACTTTGAACTTTGAATAGTATTTTTTATTTTTAAATTCTCCTTGTCTTGGCGCGATCTTCATTCAAGGCTTTATAAGTTGTAAATATGGTAATCGCCCAAGTTTGCAAACTTCGCGCTTTTGACGTAAGCTTTTTTTAACGTTGTGCTGCTTCCTATGTTGTGATAGTGTGTTCAATATTTGTGTAATGTTTTGTGTTGTGAAATGAATATGTGTAATTTGATTGTCTCTGAAGATACATATTTTGTAAGTGTACTTTTAACTATAAATATTACACTTAATTTATTTTAAGCTTTTGAGTAAAAGAAAGTTTGAAATTATTTGATGAATGTATGTTATCATCAGTGGCGACTGAGTCCATCGGAAATAAATGAGTAGATGTTCTCAGTGGAGAGCACACTCGACACACAAATACCCTCACACAATCTGCTTAGGTATAGTTAAACTGATTGCAGATAATAATTCACAAAAAAAGGTATGTTATTGAAATTCTGCTTTCACTTTACATATTAAGATCATGTTGCATTTTGTACGGCTTTAATGAAGTAACATTCCAAACTGATTCTAAAACATTTACTAACCGATACAAACGTACAATGCCTGATTATTCTTTTTAATGTAAGTGAATTTGTGTATGTACATTTACAAATTCAAAGAATTCTCCCTTTCATCACATTATTAAGTTGATGTTTAATTAAATAATACGGTCCGAAATATCTGATCTTAAATATTTATAATATAAAAAAATATGACTTTTAATTTGATGATTTTTATGTCCGATAATTCTGTCTTTTATGTTTGATCTTCTGACTTCTACAACACGCAATTGCAAATTATATCAAATGTAAATGAGGATCAGTACAGTTATAGCAAATTACATAGAATTAGTATCCACGTTATTTTAAAAGACATAAGAATGATATATCTTTTTGAATTATCTAAATCGGACCATACCTTACGAAGATATTAAGTAATAAACATTACGCCCTTCCTGCCGGCAAAATCCACCTACGCGGGTGCGTGTGACGTCACTGTGACGGTCCGAACGTAGCCGGCCCACCACCCGGGCCTCTTACTTCACAATTCGACGGAGCAGAGCGCGACGCAGGAGGCTAATATATGTATTTAGTAATTACTTATTTAGTGTTTTTTCAAGTGTTGTTGTGATATTTAGAAAGTAGTTAGTCGAATCTGTACATGAAACATTTTTTGCAAAATCTTATTGAAATAGACATTATTATCGACACAGAGGCCGAACCTATAGTTTTTAGAATTTTTGTCTGTCTGTCTCGTACTAAATAATAAGTAGGTATAGTTATGTAGTTACGTACAGCAAAATGATCCTCACAGCAATGTCTTACAGCATGGGCAGATTGTGAAGTTGTATCATCTCTTTTTACAACGGAAAACCATTTTTTACGAAGTTTTGAGTCCTTCGGTACGTTAAAAAATAGTTTTTTTGGCGTTTTAAAAGTAGTGTTTGTATATTATACAAATTATATATTATATTATATAAAAAGGTGAATTAGACACAAATCGGACACTTAATTTGTTTTAAAGTCATTAAAACACTGCGTGCCTTATTGCTGCCAGCGGCTTTCTGGCGGCGACCGTCACTATGACGTCACAGCTATCGCGGCGGCCACGCAGTGAACTTTGCTAGTAATTTCTTCATAATTTCGTCAATTTTTGTCGTAGAACAAAAATTTTTGAACTGTATGTTAAGGATTTTTTAACTCTATAAATCTGCATTCTCAACTAAAAACGTTACGGATCCTCATTGGAGTATTTTTCGTGATTATTGTTTAGCAAAGGCAAAATAAATTCTACTTTATACAATATATCGAATCTAACTTTCATTAAAAATGAAGCCTATACTACTTTTTGCAATAACCGCAAAAAAGTGACGACTTGTATTAAAATGTCTATAAATTTTGCAAATAACCGAAATACGAATTCAATTACATAGATACTCTAACTTACATTAAAATAAAACTTCTAATACTTACTTTATTTATGATCATTATTACATAGCATACACTTAATTACAGCGGCTTAAAATTATAAAAGAATATCTGAGAATTTAATCTTCTCTATACATATAAGAAAAGATCAATTGCCAAATGTATGTAAGCGTATCACTTCAGAACGGCTACACTTATTTGGCTAATTTTTTTTGTTGTGCTTGTAACTGTCACAACAAAGTAAGAAGGAAATGTTTGCAAAATTATATGGAAAAGTGAAAAATTTGGGTTAAAAAATCTCCATAGGTAGGTAAAGGAGGTTAACAGATTGTCGTTCAGTTGTTCAGTTTTTTACCTTGTTTTAACTGTTACATCCGAAAAAAAACATTTGTTGTTTTTGTTGTTTCGTGAAAAAAGTAGTAAAAAAGTTTTAGAACTTAATATTATTAAAAATATCTTGTATTTTATAAAATACTAGTGGCTCAACTATTAAGTGCAGTTCATTTATTTACGATAATATAAGTGATAATCTGATATATCAGGACAACAATATTTAGAGAAAAAAGAATTTGCAAGTTTTGTCAAAGTGTAAGATTATTATATTTATACCTAACTCTAAACCACTATAACAAAAAAATAAAAACCGACTTCAAACAAAAGCACTAAAAAGTAAAAAATAACTGATTGGTAGTTTTTATTTACTATATATAGGGGAAGCCCGGGCAAGACGCATATGTTAAGGTATAGTGTAAATAAAACCACAATTTTAATAATCAATTGAATTATTTGTACTTTTATTTTTTACTATGTTTAATCATCTTTGGAAAATAATCATTTAAATTAAAAAACTTTGACGATTTCTATAATAATTATGAGCTTTTACAAAAAGTATAAATTATCCGTCTTGCCCGGAGGGGTCGGGCAAAACGGATACGCCACAAGGGCAAAAAGGATATGTTAAATTAGTTCAGATCAGTCGTCGCATTCATCACAGAAGTAGCTGCCATCTTCTACATAAGAACTACAATCTTCATGTGCCCAACTTTTGCACTCATTACACTGAATCCAATCTTCCGCTGATGGTTCAGTGTATTTGTCAGCGCACACTAAACAGTAAAAATCTGGTTTCCGGTTTTTGTTTTGTTGCCAGACTGAGGATCTTTGAGTTTTAGTTTTTCTGGGGCCTTCTAACTCCGAAATCTTGGTCTTTTTAATATTTGCCTTCTTAAACTTCAATGCTTGTTCAGCTTTGACGGGAGTAGACGTCAACACTTCTGATTCCTGCCTCTTGTGCTTGCGGCCTGTTTTAGGAGCAACCATAGTTGGAATAGATCTAATCTGAAATGGCGTAAGGCTCGCTGCAGGCGCTGGATGATTTTCTCCTAGTGAATGAGCTGATCCGTCTTCCAGTATATTGGAATCAGGCAAAGGTGTAGTTTACTAAACCTTTTAGTCTCTATTTCTACAATGATAACGGAGTGTGAGGAAGATTCAGCTAATGCGTACTTTCCGATAACAGATGCGATTTCAGTAGAAACGGGTCAGTCGTTATTGCTTTTGCTGGAGAATCATTTAAAGCTCAGTCGATCATAGTAGTCGATGTGGCATTAAAAAGATATTTTGTCATTGTCGACGGTGATCATTTACAGGACCTTCAGTCTTAGTAGACGGTGCGTCAGGAAGAGGACGGTCGGTCATAGTTGAAGGAGCGAGCATGATCTTGTTATCCAAAAACATTTGGATCATAGAGGCAGATTCCCAGTTTTTTAAATCCATTAACTGCATTCTGAACCCAAGCACTTTTGGCGTATGCTACGCCAAATAGTTTTGCCATATCAGACTGGTTTACAATACGGCCTGGGTGCATTTTAAGGTGAGATCTGTATAGAATTAACATTAGTTGTCAAAAAACTGTTAAAATATTTGTTACTTAAAAAGGAGATAATGAAATAACTAAACGGGCAAAACGGATACCTATCCGTTTTGCCCATATCCGTTTTGCCCAACACGCTAATATTAGTAACAAGTTAAGACTTGAAATGTTTTAGTAGGTAAAAAAAAGTAACGATTACAATTAATGATACTTAAATAAACGTGCAAAATAAATAAACAAAAATATTTATAGGCAACTGATGACTAAAACAAAAAGTTTGTGTACAAATTTTCACAAAAATCGTAACAAAACAACGATAATCCTTTTTTTCTCCTTCTACAAAAAATGCACTCGCGTATTGTTTTGGTCAAACTGTCATGGCGTTACTGGTCGCACATGTCACGACTTGAGAAAGTGTTACAGCGCTATCTATTATATATTTCTAGAAAAATCAGTTATTCTTCTTACCCACACTATGCTTCTTGCCCGGGCTTCCCCTACCTAATCAAATATTTTCGAAGTCGGTGTGCTTTGCTTTGTATGGGCTGGCACCGATTTCAAAAATATTTGATTAGGTATGTATTTAATAGGTAGGCTTTAATTACTTAGCCAAAGCACACCGACTTCGAAAATATTTGATTAGGTATATGTATATAGTAAATAAAAACTACCAATCAGTTATTTTTTACTTTTTAGTGCTTTTGTTTGAAGTCGGTTTTTATTTTTTTGTTAAAAAGTTTTTATTTTTCCCTTTTTAGTGTAGACAGTAGTAGCAAAGTAAGAATTCTAAGGTGTTAGGCTTGTCAAATCAAACAAAATAAGCCCAAACTCAAAGTATCTACTATTAGCCGTTGAAGAGTTCCACCTATCCACCTTCTGGCCTTACCATCAGATCAGGTCAACAATACCGAACCACTGTACTATCAACGGAAATAGAAACACTTGCAAAGTTTCAAGTCAATATAACAATTAGAACTACTTCTATATATATATATATATATATATATATATATATATATATATATATATATATATATATATATATAGGTTAAATCCATCATTAGCTATTTTTCCACCCTTAGGGGTGGTATTTATTTTAAATTTAAATGGGACCAATCTGGAAGTATACACTTTCAAACAACTCAAAAATTGTCCAAATCGGTTAATAAATGACGGAGTTCTGAGGTAACAAACATAAAAAGAAAAAAAAAACAGTCGAACTGTGAACCTCCTCCTTTTTGAAGTCGGTTAATAAGAGCCTAAAGGATTTAACTATCAGTCTATAATTACGTATAATATTGAAAGAATTTTCTTTTAACTCCTAACCGTTGAGGAGTTGTACCTTCCATCATTAGCTCAACCACAGGAGATGATGATTATCAGACGCAAATACTTGAACAGCTTTAGGAAATATATGAAAAACGTAATAAGTGCCTATAAAATTTGAGAGTTGCCTTCGATTTCCCTGGGATCCCATCATCAGATCGTGACTTGGTGACTATGGGACCAACTAGAAACTGTACCCTTTCAAACAAAAAAAGAATTTTACAAATCGGTCCAACCATCGTCGAGTAATCGGGGAACATACATAAAAAAAAAGTCCCCGACGAATTGAGAACCTCCTCCTTTTTTTGAAGTCGGTTAAAAAACGAAAAAATTAATAAAAATAAATATTGTTTTAAGTGAAATTATTGAAATATCGAAATTCAAAAATGTTAAATGTTTTAATGCTATTTTTTTATTGCTAATATAATATTAATTGTGTACGAAAAAGGATGAAATGAATGAAAAAATACCACCCATTCCTCCAGAAGCCGCGTACCATACACTAAACATGAGCTATACCAGCAAGTGAACGCGAGTGAAGCCGCAGGGTACCTACTGCTAGTGTAGGTGTATAAAATAACTTAGTACATATTTAAAATATTTCTATTCTCATTTTTTTTTTAACACCAAATTATAACAAAATAAAATTTAATTTTGATCTAATGATAAATATTATGCGCGAGAACTGATGTTGCGCAAGCACACCACCTATATATAATATATGTATTTGATAAATAAATATTACAGCCAGGTACGCCCCTGCTTTTGTAAGAGTATTTTTTTATTTACAACGTGTAAAATACATAAAAAGGAGTAAAAAGTAGTATGTAAATAAACTAGTTAGATGATTTATACATCGAGACTATTTACCTACAATAGATTATTGTTATATACCTAATATTACCTTAAATCTCAAAGATAGAAAAGGAAGTTAGAATTAATATTTTTTTTGAAAACTAAATGCGTACAAAGCTATAGGATTAGACTAGAAATATTTAAATACAAAAAATATATACCTACAAGTCTATTAAATAATAAAAGTTCGATTGCAAGTGGTATTTCGAATAATTTAAAAATACCACAAAATATGTTGGGTAGGTAATAATAGAACTTGCGGCAAACAAAACTAATTTTCAAAAATACGTGAAACCCTACACGTATTTAATTTGCCGCCACTGATACGGCCCACATCGTGATTTTTCCTCTTTATTGAAAACTTGAAAATTAATTCCTCCACCTAATTTCCTCCACGTGAAATATGAGGTCGCGCACGCACACATGCGTGACGCAAATTTCGTTATGTCGACATAGGGTTGCCGAAACTACCCCTCCCCCCGCCGCATCAATCTTCACCCCCGCACCACCTACGTCTGTATAATACAATAATATATGTCTAACTTTCGGACCGGCCCTGTAGGTAGCTCTATCCTTATCGGTCGCGGAAGATAAACGTACGTTAGAGCGAGCCGGGTGTTAGGTGGGGGCGTCCTAAAGGGTGTAGGGTGTGTGTGGGGAGCTATTGAAATTGAAGCGGGGCTTAGGCGCGGATGACGCCTGGCTGTAGAATGGATGGAAATTTCCTCAATTTAGCGTTTTCGCCAACAAAGGACGTTGTTTAATTTTTGGTTTTTGTTGCCGTGTTCAGGTGTGCTCCGTTAGTCATATCAAATCGTTCGCAATCAATACCTAGGTACTATTTCATTTTATTGATAGAAAAGAAATTATAATATTTATTATTTATAATGTTATCATTTCTTTTCCATCAGATTATCTAAAAGACTATACAGTTTAAAACAAAATATATTATATGGTAAAAGGTAAAAAAAACATTTTAACTCACTATAAATTTCAAAATTAAATACCCTCACAATCTTAGTAAAATATCAAATATAACTATGCAAACATCCTATATTCCATATTTAGCAAAATCACTAAGTGTTTGCCTAATAGTAACATTACAACAAACAAAGGCGCTACACGTTGTTACAGAAACTCCGTGCAATCTGCGCCGTAATCCGAACACAATTAATTAGGCCGCGAACTTTTACTGCAGCGATTTATATTCCACGCCTGTCCTTATTTGTGCCGTATCTGCACACGCCTTTATCTCTGTTTAGAACTACGCCCAAACCGCAAACATTATACGAGCGTATAAAGTTTATAGTGCCTTGTTGGGACTGAATGTACTGAGGTCTGTCTTTTTCTTTATATATTATTACTAACAAAAGTATTTACTTTTATTGCCATATAAAACAAGTAAATGGTTAATTTACGGTGTTATGCTAATAGTATACTTTTTTTTAATGATAATTATGTTATAAAATCGCTTATACTTAACAAAAGCTATGGTTTTTAACATTTTGTTTATTAAGTACATACCTAGTATGATGATTTTACATAGATAGTGATCTATATAAAATCATACTTATCATACTTTCTATGTGCTGTGTATGTATTATGTTCTGGGCCATAACTATAAAATGTAAAGTACAAAAGAATATTTTTATCACGGAACTTCGACTATAACACGCACGCAGTTCAAAAAGATAGCGTTCACAATAACCGTATAACGTCCATGCGTATATACTGTTATTCAAACCTGTATACGCCTTATCTCTCCCGGCAGGCACATTTTAAGCCCCCTGGGTTAACTTGAAATAGGAATAGGCGCATTAGGCCTTAAAATTACAGGCGACCGTCACAGGCTAACGTGGTAAAACGATTCAGCCACCTGGGGGGATAACCCTCTCTCTACTCGCAAACTCGAGGCTTTTAAGCCGATTATATAAACTTCAAAAGCAACCATATTCCGTTTATGTAGAGTCATATTTTAAATGGCTGTTTAATCTCGGACTTGAAGCTATGTCTAAATGTTAGCGTTTGACCCCACTTCGTATTTCGGGTCCATGTGGCGAGAGGGGGCTGCTTTAGTCATCAATAACGTAAGTAGGTTAGCCTTACAGGAGATATGCAATCAGTCGATATTTTTTACAAACTTTTATTTAAAGTATATTTGCTCAATTGAAAATTGGTTACGTTTTAATGAAATATGTCTTTATAATTTTCAAATACTTTTTATAATTTTATTCTTTCTAAAAGTCTAAAAATTTATACTACTAAT